TTCCCTCAGCGTGAGGTGGGCACAGAGTGACATGGGAAAAACAGACAGGCTTTCTTGGAAAAGCTACACACATACATGTCTTTTCTTCCATAAAAAGAAGACATAGCTTTTTTCAGTTATGTCCAGAGATGACAGTTACTGGCGACACACAGGAAATGGGATCTAAAGAATAAGAAAGTACGAACTTTGTAGTGCTCAACTCGGTGTGAATAGGAGAAACACTGAGGCAAAGCACGGTTCTGTCTGCAGGACAGATGGGCAAAATTACCACTTATTATCACTAGTAAATGGGGAAATTCCTGCTCTGCTTACTTTTATAGCACCTAAGAACTGACTGAGGTGAGGGCCACCCTTTTCAAGTACTGTACAGACCATTAATCTTGCAGTCTGCACAGAACGCTTAGGCAGATGTGGACCAGGGAAAGGAGAGGGAGAGAACAGGTCTAGGTTTAACACATCATCTGTTTACCACCCTATTTCTGTGGTATTAGCAGTGGGATGAAGCACACTATCAGAAATGGAAAAATGATGCAAAACTACTGTGAGGTGAGGGAACCAATGCAAGGATAAACTTCCACCCCCGGCGTTAGAATCATACACCAGAACCTGCTCTGTCTCAAGTAACTGTGAGGTTAACTGGGGCTGGACTACTCCTCCCTGCAGGGAGAAACATGCTCATACTGACAAAAAAAAGAAGAGCAAGGTTTGTGTAAAGCAGTAATTATCGTTGAATAAATCATTGCTACCCAACTGAAGCATGCAGACAAGCTTTTGGGGGATGCTGCTTCTTCTTCCATGTTCCAAGCTAATTATAACAGGGCAGAGAAATTATTTAAACAGAAAATTGTGGAGGGGAAAAAAAAGGCATGAGGGAAGCATTAATTACAACCTAACTCTGAGAACATGCCTACGGGCATCCTTCTCTGCTAGGCCTCGCTCCCCCTTGAGAAACCTCTGCTTCCTGCCCAGGAAAGCTGCTCGTGTGCATACCTATTGCACTAGCACACTGTAATGAAACAAGCCTACAACAACACATTTAAAAGAGCCCAGCACACACATGTCCCCATTTCCCTCTGTGTTCACAGGCAACCAATGCAGCAGGTTGCTCGTGCTTTGAGATGTGCCAAGGAAGAGGCAGAATTTTACCTGGTGGGACTGTAGGCCGATGATGGAGGAATACGCCTGGATGGTCACAAAGATCTCTGGCTGGTAAATAATGTCTGAACCAGGGATACGAAAGGGTCTCAACAACCCCACTAGGCATCGTGAAAGGGCATGAAACACTTCATCAAAAATTATCTCCCCTGTTGAGTCATCCTACAGAAACAGAGAAAGGAAACTTAGCTTCTTTACTTTCAACCTCATTGATCATTGCCCCAGACACAGACATATGAACAAACGCCCTTCTGTAACAGCAGCTGGACTAAAACAAGAGCTCTCAGCAAGCAAAGGACACATATGGAGCATCCAACAGAGACCTGCTCGGAAGCTGCCCAGCTAGGAGCATTTCATGCCTCACTCTTGGGAAAGCAAGTCCTCTGCAAAAAGCTAAGGTTGACATGGAGAGGAATAACCCTTCCCAGCACAGACGATCAAATCCAGTCTTTCAACACAGAGAGGCAATTCCTACACTTACCACAATCCCAGTGGAAGGGCTCAGGTCAAGCTCAATCACAAACCGGTACTGGCGGGCCAGGAAGGTGACCCGTGTCGAGGGCACTAGGAGATAGGGCCGAGGCTGGACAGGCTCGTCCGGCTGCCACCCGTTAGGCAAGATGCTGAGAACGTCCAGTTCGTTTTCTGACTTTACCTGTGCAAAAAGGTTATTGGTGTGTGGGAGACCACGAAGCCAAATGTATCAAAGGAAGAATCAGAATAAAGAACAGGGTTAAAATCTCCTGCAGGCCCTGGTGCAGAGCCCAGAGGCACCGGCTGCTCCAGCCCAGGGCACCAACTCACCAGCTCCGGCTCGGGCACAGCCCAGATGACCTGGTGGAGGCGGCTGAGGACCCAGGCAAGGCGCACGTTGCGCGAGATGCGGTAGTCTTTTTTCATGAGGAGGAAGACGTGCCCTGCTTCCTCCACCTGCAGCACGGGGGAGCGCGGCCAGGCCCCAGGTCAGCGCAGGGCCCCATAGAGGAGGGAAGGAG